GGGACATCCCGGCTCTTCTCCAGCCTGTTTCCTCTCCGGGGAAGGATGTCATCCAGCTGGTGTGACGTCTTGAGAGACATAAAGAGACAGGAAGCAGCAGACATGCTGTTTCGCTGGACACCTAGAAAGGCCGGGAAGGTGCATGGGGTGCTTGCGGGGCTATCCTGCTGGGAGGGAGTAGCCCCCGTACTCTGGGCAGCTGCTCTTGGCCTTTCTAACCTGCCGGCCAAAAATTGAAAGAGGAGAAATATTCTGGCTCACTGAAATAAGAACTTAGAAATAAGAACACAATGTGGCTGGTATATTACCCACTAAACCCAGGTTATAAAGTTGCCATTTTCAAAAAATAAAATAAAATAAAATAAAGCTGCCATTTTCAGCTGATGTTTAAGGTTGCCATTTGGGGCAGATGTTCCGCAGACCACAGGGCCCGGTCAGCAGAAATGGAAACAAGCGTCCAAGGTACCAAGAACGAAAGTGATTCCCACACAAGAAGGCCCTTTGGGAAGACAGAAGCCACAGCTAGTCGCAGCAGCCCTTGACAGCCATCTCTGTCCTGTCAATTCACTCGCTGAGCTCTCTTCGCAGCAGCACCCTGGATACCAGTGACAGAAGGTTCTGGAAACGGGACAGTCAGGGCTCAAGCCTTCCGTCCCAGCCCACCCTGTGCCATGGCTCTGTGCCACCAGGCCCTGCTCCCCTGGGTCCCAGCCGGCCCTCTACAAAGGCCAGCTTGGAGGCCCGTTGGGGTCCCGTTGGGTCCGGGCCTTTTAAGTCTCCTGCTGCTTCTTGTCATGGATTCTGCCTAAGCTTCGGCTTCTGGCAGCAAACGCGCCCCTTGAAGCTAAAACGTCAAAAGAAAATGTCGGTGCCCGGGAGGCGGCTCCAAGGTGCGGCACTTGCCTGTGTGCAGAGGTCCTAGGCTCAGCTCCCGTGTTGCAGAAATAAAGGAAAAGGCTGATTCTGACCCTTTCCAACGGTGAGCAGCAGACAGTTTATCCTCAGGAAAATAAGTCGTCATTTTTCTCGGTCCTAAATAACTGCACGTTTCCCAAATATCTTCCTTTACCGCCCGCCTGATTCGTAGCAGAGACAGGCAGGAGTTTTTCTCTGCACGAGCACTCAGAAAGGGACCCAGGCTTGGTGCTGGGAAGTTGTTTCCGGGCACGAAACGTGAGTAGTGTTGAGGCCTGTGGGATCCAAAGTTCGAGGACAGTGTCCGAACAGCCAACGCCGACACGGGAGCTCTGGCCAGCAGCCAGGCCTACGCGGGGAGGATGGGGGATGGAGAGGGAGGACACAGCTTCCACCTGTCCAGCCACACAGAGAAGCCGCCAGCACCCCTTCCTCTGGACTCGCCATGAATCAGAGATGCCCGCAGCTGGCGTGTTTGGTGTGTTTGGTCTGGGGGCGCCACCCCGCGCGCTGAGAGCCCACTCCTGCGGACTGAGCCGTATGAGCTGGGTCGGCACCCGCCTGCCGCCCGGGCTCCGCCCCCAGCCACATCTCCTACCTGTGGTGTCTGGGCACCGCCTCAGTCAGCACTGAGATGCCGACTGGACTCTCGCGGTGCAGAAACCCTGTCCCAGAGGGGCGCGCAGAGCAGGCGTTTGTGATGCTGCAGCTTCATGGAAAGGGACAGAGGTGGCCAGGGCCACGCTGGGCGTGGACCATGAACGGAGTCCCCTTTCTCCAAACACGGGGAGCAGGGGACAGAGTAGGGATCGCTCATGCCACAGCTCCTAGTGTCTGTGCCCGAAACCCTCCATGGCTCATGGGCCTCCCTGTGCCTGTTTCCACCTTCCTCCTTCCCAGCAGCTCCCCCACACACACATACACAGTCTCCCTCCTTCACACACACACATACACACACACAATCTCCCTCACACACACACACACACACACACACACACACACACACACACACTGTGTTCCCTCATACACATTCTCATGCTCACATTCTCCTTCTCACACTCATACACTCTCCCTCTCACACTCTTCACACTGTCCCTCTCAGACTCATGCCCTCTTTCACACAGTCTCTCTCCCTCTCTAACACACTTTTCCTCTCACACACTTTCCCTCTCTCACACACTCTCCCTCTCACATGCACTCTCTCACATGCGCACATCCTCACACACACTCTTCCTCTTGTCTGCTCTCACACACTCTCCCTCTCAGTTACTCACTGAGAGAGAGACGAAGGGACCATGTGACCTGGGCCCTGGCACTGGGCTCAACTCTCCTACTCTCCTGTGTGTCTCAGCAGCTGCTCCTCAGCCTCTCATCCTGGGTCTGTCTGTCTGTCTGTCTGTCTGGCTCTCTCTCTCTCTCTCTCACACACACACATACACACACACACACACACACACACAGTCACTAGCCACTAGCCATGAATCCTTGGGGGAACTCCCATTTCTCTTCTCTAGAACTGGGGGAGAAACAGAGGAAAGTCGGGCATTCGGGGCGGTTCACAGCGGCTCCCATGCTCTGGCCCCTGCTGCTGCCAGGGGCCCCGGGCTCTTCCCACAGGCCCCACGGGCAGTGTTTCTCCCTTCCGAGGCCACGCGGGCCCGTGAGCCAGGGGAGCGCCCAGCCGCCACCTCGGGAGGCTGGTGAGGCCGCGGGAGCTTCTGCAAGGGAAGGGGCGCTTCCAGCCGTCACTGTGTCTCAGCAGCCCACAGCCCCACACACTGTCAGTGCATGGCAAGAGCCTTCCCATCTGGGGTGGGGGGTCAGCACAGTGGCTGCTGAGGGGGACGTGTGTCCTTCCTGTGACATGGAGGAGGCCCACATGTATGGCACTCTCTCGCTTGCGGACTTCGTTCGTTCGCTCCCTCAGTGTAAGGTCCCGTGGGACCCCGAGGGAAATTCCAGAGCTAAAAAACCTTGCTTGCTGTCTGCAGTCTCTGGAGTCTCTTTGTCGTTAAAGGGAGATCACAATCTGCGTCCTAACACTTAGGACACATTTTGCTATAAAAGCCTCAGGGAATAGGGAGCCCACAGGACTAAGGCCTGTGGCCAACCCCGTTTAGTCCCTGGCTTGGCGCGGTGACCCCGGCAGTGCAGGGCCCGAGCAGACGCGTGCTCACCCTCGGCACTCACCCTCAGCCCCAGGAGCACTGTCGGGGGGGGGGGCGGCAAGTCTGTGCTGCCCACTCATGGTCTGTGAGGGCCAGGTCACCTGTCCAGACACAGGACGGTGTGGGGGGGCCCCTGCGAGGACGGAAGGTCCAGGTACTCACCCCGTCTACCTCAGTACCACCCTGCCTCCTGCCCTTCTCCTCCCTCTCTCTTCCAGCCCTCCCTCCTCCCAGCCCTCCTCCTCCCTTCCTCCGGCCCTCCTCCCCTCCTCCTCCGGTGCTCTCTCCAGAGGGATGTGCGTCTGCAGCCAATTCTCTGGTGAAACAATGTGCATTTCCCGTTTGCATCAGGCTCTCGGCTTGCATTCTTTCAGAGAAGAATAGTGTTGCAGGCAAGTGTCCTTCAGGGCCATCCTCTGAAGTGCTGCAACTGTGCTTCAGGGGACCGCTCTGAGAACAGTGCTGGTTGTCAGGTGTCTGCAGCAGAGCTGGACCTTCCCGTAAAGGTTCCGCACTCCAGTCCTGCCCCCGTGCTTCCTCCCTCCCCTTGGTGGTCACTCTGATGACGGGCTCACACGGGCTGGCCTCAGTGCCTGCCACCCCCCTCCCGCCCCCCGGCATCCCACAACTCCGAGCTGGCGGCCTACTGCTTGCAAGGTGCTAGGGCCACAGCCCAGAGTTGCTCTGGCGCACGTCTGGGCCGGGTAAGAGGTGAGGTAGCTTCACACACAGCCTGTGCTCCAGCCCCTGGAGGTCTCCCTAGCCCAGTCCCAGGAAACCAGGATTTCTTCCAAACAAACAAAAACAAAAATCTTTTTAAAAATCGAAGCAAACGGGCTGGAGTGATAGCACAGCAGGTAGGGCACTTGCCTTGCACGCGGCCGGCCCAGATTCGATTCCCAGCATCCCATATGGTCCCTCGAGCACCGCCAGGAGTAATTCCTGAGTGCAGAGCCAGGAGTAACCCCTGTGCACCGCTGGGTGTGACCCAAAAAGGAAAAAAACATCTAAGCAAACAAAAGCTGGGGGCATCCTTTGTCTCAGCCCCCATTTTTCTCTTCTACAGCTTCTCCCTCCCCTGCCTGTGGGACACTGGCAGTCTTGGTCAGGCGCTCCCCAGGGAAAACGGAAACTCCTGTTGCATTCGGGTGGGACGGCAGCCTTGGCAATAGCTGCGAGAATAAGGGGAACGTGGGAGGGGCTTCCCAGCGCTGCACCCACCGCGCCCCCCCATCCACCGGCCCATCTGACTCCTGCGCGCGGGCCCAGGGCTCCTGCAGGCAGGCAGCAGGGCCTGGTCGCAGCCTCGTGCCAGTCGCCTGCGAAGGCCCTGGCGCACATGCCCTGCCCTCGGCCTCTGGGAGCAGGGAACGGACTCAGGCCAGGCAGTGACCACCGCCGGCTCCCACCTTGCGGGATGAACTCGGTTGGGGACGAGGGCGCCTGGACGCGCACACCAGCCCACCCCTGCGCCTGGGGAGCTCCGCCTGGGGCGGCCGAGTTCTGACCCCCGGGGGGACGTGGTGCCCGGACCTCCCACGGCCGGACGCTCATCCCCACGCGGCCACGCCCCGGGCCCCCACCGAAGCCTCCTCCCTGGGCAATCGCGTGACCGCTGTCCCCCAGCTGGGCGGTGGGCGCGCCGCGGCCCGCGGGGGGGACGGGCACCTGCGTCCCTCCTCGGGGAGCGGCTGGCCAGTGCCACTGGAGGCCCCGCCCGGCGAGCACTGACCTTCTCTAAGGGGTGTCCAGTGTGGAGGCCACTCTCTAGAGTGCGGGCCCCCCGCGACCCGGGCCTCTGGACGCAGCGAGGCTCCGGGCGCGGCAGTGGCCGAGTGACCGCCGTGGGCCCCGCGCGAGGCGGCGGGGGCGCGCGCGGACACGCGGCCGGAGCGGGTCGGGCCGTCCCGGCGGGGGTCGGGGTCGGGCGCCGGCGGGGCGGGAGGGGCCGGCCGGGTTCCCCGCCGCGCCCCCGCCGCCCGTGTCCGTCCTTCTGTCTGCGCCCGCCCGACGTCAGCGGGAATTTCCAGCAGGAAGTGAGAGCGCGAGCGCCGAGCCGCGCGGCCGCAGGAAGAGGAGGTTCGCCCGGCCCGGCGCGCCGACACCTCCCGCCGATGGCGCCGCGCTGACCCGCGCCCCCCGCAGGTAAGGCCCGCGACCCCCGCCCCGGCCCGCAGGCGGGGAGGCCGCGCGCCCCGGGACGCCCCCGGACGCCCCCCGCGCGCCCCCGGGGCCCCCCGCGCGCCCGCAGCCCCCGCGCGCCCAAGCGCTGGCCCGCGCGCACCCGCACCCGGAGCCCCCCGCGCGCACCCGGAACCCCCCGCGCGCACCCGCTCCCCGCGCGCACCCGGAGTGCTGGCCCCGCGCACCTTACCCGCGCGCACCCGGAACACTCGCCCACGCGCGCCCAGAGGACCCCCCCGCGTGCACCCCGAACACTCGCCCACGCGCGCCCGGAGACCCCCGCGCGCACCCGGAACACTCGCCCGCGCGCCCCCCGAGCGCCGTCCCGCGCGCACTCCCGCCCCGCGCGCTCCCGTCCCGCGCGTGGGGCTCTGTCCGGGCCTGACCACCCCCCCCCCAGGGACATGGCACCTGACCGGGACTGCCTCGGCCAGCGCGTTCCCAGGGCACCCACCTGGAGGAGCCCCCACGGCGGGGCCTGGCCGACTCTGTGCCCCCGCGCCCACAGGCCTCCGCCGTGCCCGCTGCCCTAAGGCTCAGTGAGGGAAAGGCTTTTGGATTTTCCTTCCAGCATTGCAGCTTAACAAATAAGTGTGTTTTTTTTTTAACCAAAGATTTGGTCGTGGAGGCCTCACTCTGGAGAACGGCCACGGTGCCCTTCGGCCCCGGGCTGCTGTGCTCTCAGCGGGCCACCCTGGGCCAGGACCCGGAGTCTGGAGCTCCAGCGGCCAGGTTAGGGGAGGCTCCTCTCAGAGCCCAGGGCTGCAGGAGCAGCTTTTCCTGACATGAGTGTGTGTGCTTTCTAGAGATGAACCCGGTTGCTGTTTGAGGCCCCTAGTCAATTATGTAAATAATTTAAAGTGAAGTGTTGTTTGTTTTGAACTTAGGGACTAGGAAGGCAGGAAGCAAAGGTCTGCTTCCTGCAGCAGTTTTACGTTTCTCGCGGGGCCCAATGGCTGAGGTGAGACATGCGCCCACGGAATTCCCCGAAACTCCCCATGGTGGTGACACACCTCACCTCTGGAGGTAGAGCTGCCTCCGCGTGTGGGCCTGAGAGCCACAGCACGGTGCTGGCCCCTCTGAACCACCCTCCAGAAAGAACACGACGCGCTCCTTGGAAGTCGGTGGGCAGACATGCTCCCCCAGGCTCCCGGGGCCAGCGTCTGGCCCTTGTTTGGACCCCAGTTTGTGGGTGCCGGGATCTTTGAGAGAAAGCTGTTCCCGTGGCCAGCTTTGATCTTGCACTTCCCCTTCTGTCTGGGAGGGGGCTCGTCCCCTTGCTGGAGCGGGGGATTCACTGCTCAGGCTGCGGGAACTTTGATTGGGTGGCCCAGGGCCTCTCACCCTGGGCCTGGCCATCGAGGAAGCGGGTGGCTGTGCTCACGGCTGCCCCGAGACTGCAGGGGAGAATGGATTCGTTTCGGGGCAGCCCTGGGGAGGGACCGGACGGCCCAGCCCCGCCTGCTTGGGCCAGAGGAGGTGAAAGTTCCAGCTTCTGGGGGAAGTGGTTACTTCATCGCGTCAGCCGGCGTGGACGGGGAGAAGTCGGGCCAGCAGCTGGCGACTTGACACGTTTCGGGCGAGATCCGGGTTCCCGGCGGGCCCTTGTTGGAGGCCGGTGCTTCCTCTGCCTCTTCCCCCGGCGCTGTGGCGGGCAGTGGCGTGAGTGTGGAGCGGGGAAGTAACCGGGGGCGGGGACGTGGCTACAGAGCCGCAGCTGCGACCTTCCTGGCACGCTTGCCCTGATTCCGCGAGATGCGTGTTCTGGTTGGTCGGGTTCATTGTTGTCGTTGTGAATCACAGACGAGGGCCCCAAGGGGGGAACCGGGCTGCGCCGGGTGTCCTGCTCGGTCTCTGGGATGGGAACACCAGGCTCCCGGCAGGCCGGAGCAGCACCCTGAGGTCAGCCGTCGCCCTGCTGCTTCTCCGTTAAACGGGGTCACAACTCGAGGCGGGGAGGGGGGAGGCCTCATCAGGTTGCGGTGCCGGCCTGACCCACGCCCCGAGCACCACCGCCATGCAGCTCCAAACAAATAGGTGGTTGGTGCTTGGAAACAGGTGATCCCGTCCAGTCAGTAGGACCGTTTGGTCAGTGGGTGTCTGGGCCTGCTGTCTGGAGAGAGGGGGCTGGGCCTGCGCCGGTACATCAGCCAGCCGTGTGACAGCACGCTGGAAGAAGCCCTGTTGCCCCCCGCGAGGGACTGGGGTCCCGACAGCTCTGCCCCCGAGGACGGTGACCGTGGTTTGTTCAGAGTGTACAGACCTCAGGGCTGGAACAGGAGGGCGCGGGAGGGCGCTGCCTCACACGCGGCCAACCCAGGGTTGATCTCAGCACCCAAAAGGTCCCCAGAGCCTGTGATCCGTGAGCACAGAGGCAGGGTGAGCTCTGAGTTCCACCAGGTGTGACCCAAAACCAAAAACAGTTTATATATCAGATCCTCAATATTGTATAGATTGTGGGTAAGAACACTTGTGACGAGGGACCAGAGCAATAGCACAGCGGGGAGGGCGTTTGCCTTGCACACAGCTGACCCGAGTTTGATCCTCAGCATCCCATAGGGTCTCCCGAGCACTGCCAGGAGTGATTCCTGAGTGCAGAGCCAGGAGGAACCCCTGAGCATCGCCGGGTGTGACCCAAAAAAGCCAAAGGGTGTGTGTGTAGGCGGGAAGAGGGGGTGAAGAGCATTGATCTTCAGCTGTCCTGGTGTAAGCTCCGACTTGACTTGACCTCAGTGCGGCGCCTCTAGCCACCCGTGAGTCTCAGGTAGCTCTCAGCTTGCTGCTGGTCTGTGAGCTGGGAATAGTGAAATGGGTGCTTTGATTCCTCGTGACAAGTTAGCTTCACTTTGCATTCACGTCTCGCCATCAGGCCGAAAATCTCACGGCCATCTTTTCTACTGACCACACTCGCATCAGACATTCGTGAGTCCGAACTCTTAAGAAAGGCTCAATTTCCTGAGCTGAAAATAGTTCAGACGGGTGGAACTTTAAAGAAGAATGCAAAGATTCTTTGTGGTTTGCTCTTTGGGCGCCTAAAGCTTAAGAAATAATAAACTGAGGGACTGGAGCGAGAGCACAGCGGGTAGGGCGTTTGTTTTTCCTTGCAAGGGGTCGACCCGGGTTCGATTCCCAGCATCCCATATGGTCCCCTGAGCACCGTCAGGAGTGATTCCTGCGTGCAGAGCCAGGAGGAACCCCTGAGCATCACTGGGAGCGACCCCAAAACCAAAAAAAAAAATAAATAAATAATAATAATAAACTGAAAAAGGAAAAATAGCCAAGTGAGGAATTGGAAATCCGAGAGCTCTGGTTCAGAAGAAGCATTTCTGATGCCTGCGAGCAAACTGTTCCTGCGGCTTTGTGTGTTGGGCCCCAGTCGGAGGGAATGGCATGTCTCGTCCCGCTGGAGGAGGCGCAGCCTCTCATCTCCCCTGCAGTGAGCAGAATCACGCTGCTCTGCTTTCTGAGGAGGAAGGAGCGGGGACAAGTTTCTGCTTCCGGGGAGCAGCGTTCATCCCTGCACTAAGGACAGGGCTGGGGCACTCCCAGCTTATTTGGGCGTGGAGCAGGCTGCCCATCTGCCAACCAAGCACCTAATTCCTGCGTGCACTCTCGGGCGTTCTGTGAGGGGTCCTTGGGGGTCCCGGAGTAAGGCCCTTATCTCAAGGACTCCATGCCTTCTCCCAGGGAGGTACAGGAAAGCTGGTGTAGCCTCAGCACCTCAGAGGCGCTTTATCAAGCAAGATCATCATCTCGTGGAAATGACAAGAGGCGCTCGTACAAGTTATTGGGTTTTTTTTGCTTTTGGGGTCACACCCGGCGATGCTCAGGGGTTACCCCTGGCTCATGCACTCAGGAATTACCCCTGGCGGTGCTTGGGGGACCATATGGGATGCTGGGAATCGAACCCAGGTCGACCATGTTGGCTGCGTGCAAGGCAAACGCCCTACCCGCTGTGCTATGGCTCCAGCCCCTCGTACAAGTTTTTTTTTTTTTTAACTTTTTGGCTAACCCAGAGTTTCTCTGAGCTCTGTATCTCAATCCTGGGATCTCCAAAAAAGGAAAGAGCCGAAGCACTGGTCTGTCCTGCAGAGAGTATAGGCGACGTCAGTGAACGCACCTGCTCGCCCTCACCGGCCTGGCGGTCCACTGCAGCTGGACCCACCCCAGGCCCACGAGATCCAAAGGGGCCCAGAGTGAGGCCGGTGCTGCTGGCCCCGGGTCCGAACCACCTCCAGCCGCGTCCTGTCCAGGAAGTCCATCGGCGCCAACCTCTATCCACACCTCTCACAAGTGCACAGCCAAGCTTGAGAAGTCAAAGTTAAGAATGGTTCACATGGTGCTATGTGCATACAATCATAGTTCACGCGATGCTGTGTGCATACAGTCATGGTTCACATGGTACCGTGTGCATGTAAGAATGGTTCACGCAGCACTGTGTGCATACAGTCAGGGTTCGCGCAGGGCCATGTGCATGTAAGAATATTTCACGCAGTGCCGTGTGCATGTAAGAATGGTTCACGCGGTGCTATGTACATCCAATCATGGCTGTTGCTGCCAGCAAGCAGAGAGCAAGCCTGTCCCCAGCTGACCATGAACACAAGCAAAATCTCTGCCAAGGCCTGGCCGGGAGTCTGCAATCTGTCTGTCTGTCTGCAGCTGGAGCTGGGACTTGGGGCTCTAGACCAGCATCTGCCTGAGAGCCTGCTGTCTGTCTGTCTGTGGCTTCTTAGAGCTAGGCTGGTGTCTGCCCTGGGTGCCTGCTGTCTGCCTGCCTGTCTGTCTGTCTGTCTGCATCAACTTTGAGCTGGACCTTTGAGGCTTGGAAACATTGATGGGAGAAATTCATATTTTTGCTGAGTGGAAAAGTATCTGGCTCGTACATAGAGTTAGGCACACCTTGATAGAGTTTAATTCGCATTTTCAAAATAATTTGGTTGCTACAATTAATTTTGACTTTC